GTAGGGTAGTTTTTCTCATGAGGTTTCAACTGACGAGATGCATATGCTATGACTTTGCCCCCTTGCATTAATACACAACCCAAACCCTTATGTGAAGCATCACTGAAAATCTGAAATTCCTCATTATCTGATAAGTGGTTCCAAGGAAGTTCTAGGCTAAAGATGACCTCGGCTAAACTCACACCAAGCGGGGTACAAAACATGCAAGAAACTTTTAAGCAAATCAAATCAAGGTTTGCAAAAATGCAACATATCAAGACAAGATCATGTAATATATGCAAGCATAACTAGAGTAGAGTGAGGGTCGTTACAGTCATTACATCTCATCTCTTCACTACTGTCTCTGTTGATTTCTGTTATATATGACAAAACCATCTAAATCTGTTATCTCTGAACTTATCTTCTATCAGCATTATTCCTACCTATTCTCGAATATACTCATTCCTAACTCTATCTTTTTAAGTCTTGTCACACGTCCACCTTAGTATCATCATCTCAGCAACACTCATCTTATCTACATATTGTTTCTTAGTTGCTCAATATCCCGTCACATACAACATTGCTGGTCTAATAGCCGTTCTATAGAACTTTCCTTTTAGCCTAGCGAGTACTCGTTTATTGCACAGTACCCCAAACACACTCCTCCACTTAAGCCATCCTGTCTTAATTCTATAGACTACATCCGCTTCAATCTTTCCTTTTTTTTTTGATAAAAAAAAAAAAACTTTTATGACTTTATTATATATGTATATCTAATGATCCCTGAGAACAGTACCTATTTTATAGTTGAGGTTATATGTGACACCTATCTTTTGTTGTTGCAGATTTTGGCTGAGCATAAGAATGGGAAGTTGGCAATTATTACATGACAGTTGGTTTTGTGTTTGGTTGTTCTGTATGCATTTGCAAGCAAATTAGCATTGTGGTTGTTTCTTGTTGAGGCTTGAACTTTCAATCCTCTGTTATGCTTCTTTTGGTTTCCATATTCCTGTACTTTTCTGTTAATAATTTAGGGGCCCTTTTTCTTTCTTCCAAAATTTTCATTTGAATTTGCACATATTGCTAAGCTTGTTATTCGGACCTGTTTGGTAGTGTTTTCAAACAAAAATTCTTCTCTTTTTTGTGTATTTAGACAAAAATATCAAATAGTTTAGAATCATTAATTGCTCATAAAATTATGTGATAACTATCAACTAATCCGTAGGCAGGAACAAGCTCTGAGGCCATGGTCAATGTTAATTTTGATGGTGTGTACAATAAAAGGTGAGCTAAATTGGGAAGCTGCAATGGTGGCCGTTAGGATGGCAACAGAGTTTGGTTTCAGAACTGTGTTTGTAGAGGACTATTGTCAACCAATTGCAACCATGGTGCAGCAGGAAGAGGGGGTGGATCAAACTGTTGTGGTTAAGATTCGGGATGTTGTGCAAATGATGAAGACTTTGGCAGGGTGATTGGTTTCGTACGGTAGGCTCAGAATATAGTTGCTTATGAGTAGTGATGGAGATAGGATTTTGATTCATGGGCACCGTTAAATTTAATCCTTAGCGATATTAATTATAAAACTTAATCATATTCAATTTTCATTTGGTGATAGAATGTCTAAAAATTAACATGATGTCAAAATTATGTCTTAGTTATGTTTTAATTAATTGATAATTATTTTATTTACTATTTTAGTTACTAAATATGATGATAATCAAAATTTAAAATGTAATCACATGCATACAAAAATAATATAAAAAAGATAATTGTGGAGAAAAATAACAGAGTAATGATAGAGATAAATAAATATAAGAGAATGTTTCGATAAAAATAAACATTTATAGTCGCAAATTGAAAGGAATTTTTTTTTAAATTTTTTTTGAAAAAGAAAAGAATAGGGATATAAAGATTTGGAAATATATTTGAAAATCAAAAAAGAGTTAAATGAAAAAAAAAATTTCTAAGTAAAGGTGAAAGTGTAATTTTAAATAAAAAGGGAGCAAGTGCCCCCTAGTCCCTAATGTAGCTTCGTCTTTGCTTATGAGTTGCCGTTTCGCTTGTAATGGAAAGAGTATTTTAGTGTGTAACTATGTGACTCAGATGATATGTGCACCCTTCTTGGTTGTTTGTCCATGGTGTGTTCTGATGGTTGAATGCTTTCACTTTCTATCTAATGCAATATATCTATTGTCCGGAGGGAAAAAAATTCTATTGACCTCTCTTAAGGCTTAAAAAAATATTTATTACAAGTGTTACTAATTTAAATTATATCAAATTTTAAGTCCCATCAAATATGATCGGTCATATGAAATTTTCTTTTCCATTCGACTCTATTAAAGGCTATTGCGTTAGTCAAATTAAAGAGATTCATATCTCTCTTTACTACACTAACCCACGTCAATTTAGGTCTGTCTTTTTCTCTTAACAATTTCGTCTACCGTCACTACATCTCATCTCTTCACTACTGTCTCTGTTGGTTTCTGTTGTGTATGACCAAATCATATCAATCTGTTATCTCTGAACTTATCTTCTATCAGCATTATTCCTACCTATTCTCGAATATACTCATTCCTAACTCTATCTTTTTAAGTCTTGTCACACGTCCACCTTAGTATCATCATCTCAGCAACACTCATCTTATCTACATATTGTTTCTTAGTTGCTCAATATCCCGTCTCATACAACATTGCTGGTCTAATAGTCGTTCTATAAAACTTTCCTTTTAGCCTAGCGAGTATTTGTTTATTGCACAGTACCCCAAACACACTCCTCCACTTAAGCCATCCTGTCTTAATTCTATAGACTACATCCGCACCAATCTTTCCAATCTTTGTGATAATTGATCCTAAATAATGAAAATGTTCACTCTTACACAGTTCTTGGTTCTCAATCTTCACTTCTACTCTGTTTCCATTGTTACTTTTACTAAAATTACATTCTATGTACTCTGCCTTAGTTTTGCTTATCCAAAATCCGTTACATTCAAGTGTTTCTTTCAAAGTCTCCAACTTAGTATTCACTTATTCTCTAGTCTCGCTCACTAACATAATATCATCTACAAAAAGCATACACCATAACATATTATCTTGAAAATTTCTCGCCAACTCATCCATAACTAAAACAAAAAAATAAGGACTCAAAGTTGATTCTTGGTGTAACCCTATAGTAATTGAAAATTCATTTGTCTCTTCAACATGCAATCTAATAGTAGTCACCACACCTTCATACTTTTCTCTAATCAATTTAACATAATTATATTGGGTATAAATAAAAAAATAATTATGTCATTTCACTTATATCAAAATACATATTTTATTTTATTTGTTTTTATATTTTTACACCGTCTACATAAGTTTTAAGCCCTTTAATTTTATTTAAAAAATTAGTGTAATTATGGGTCGGTTAGGTTGGTTTGGGAAGTGTTTTTTTAGAATTTTTTTTAATTAAAATATGAGGTGAAAAAAATATTTATGGATGATTTTTTGAGTTTTTATGAAAAAATTATATAAAAAGTAGAAAAAATAAGAAACAAATTTTGACTTCTTTTTAATGATTTTTTGTTTACATCCCAAATTCATCCTATGTCAAATTTTGAGATTGTTCTGTTTTTAATTATTATTGATTAATTGATATTGAGGCTTGGTTTTGGAATTCATTAAAAAGTTATTAAAAAAGTTAAAAAATTATATAAAAAAAGTAAAAATTTCATTTTCTTTCTATTCTTTACATTTTTTTCTGTAAAAAGCTATAAAATAAAATAAAAAGTATCCTAAATATGCTAGTCTTTTTCATCTCCTATTTTATCTAAAAATCTAAAAAATTACTAAAATAATCTATTTTCAAATCAACTCTGAATACATCTAGCAAACAGTTCCTTAAGAAGTATTAAGGGGTGGTTTGGGTATAATTTTTTTAGGGACTTTATTTTATTTTTTGTGAAAAGATGTGTAAAAAAGTAGAGAAGTGTTTTGATAACTTTTAACAAATAAGTCAATGACCAAGGAAATTCTAATATACGCCCTTTTAAAATGGGTATACCATATGCACCCCTAGTTATGCCGTTTTCTTCTTTAGTTATGACTAATTTTATTTTTTAGTTATGGTATTATTTTAGTTATGACTCATGAGTTCTTTAGTTATACCTCATGTTGTATTTAGTTATGACATTTTTTTTTTATTTTAATTATGACTCGAAAAGTATATACAAAATTATGTCATTTTTTTTCTTTAGTTATAAAGAATATGTGTGTATCATAGTGTTTTTCCATTTTTCATCACTAATACCTTAGTTGTATAAACTAGGGGTGCTCGCGGATTGAGTTGGGTCGGGTCCGAACTTAGGTGGATAGCCCATATGGCCGGGGGTAGGCCCATATTTTCAACCCGAAATATTAATTGATTGGGTTTGGAATATATACTTTCAATCCAGCTCGACCTGGTCGTTATTAAATTAATTAATTATTTATAATACATTAATATATATTTTTTTTTTGTTGAGATCTAGATTTTATCTTAATTGATTGGGTAAATTACAAATACACCTCCTAAGGTTTGTTTAAAGTATAGATTGCCCCTTGTGCTTTGGAAAATTACAAATAACTCATTGTTAGCACTTTTTATTTAACAAAATTAACTAAAAGAATGAAATTCACAATTGCTCTCCTATACAATAATAAAATTACCTAAATTATTAATTGAATTATATTTCTAATATCATTAAAAACTGTTAATTGATTTGATGATTTATTAATAAAAGGGGCAATTTGTTATGAAATTAGAAATCTCAAAGGGTGAAATGTAATTTCCAAAATCACAGAGGGCAATTCATATTTTAATCAAATCTCAAGGAGTTTATTTGTAATTTATCCTTATTAATTTTATTGGAACTCACATTTATGGTGATATGTGATTGAATTTATTTAAGAAATTATTTAATTTATACACAAAATCTTTTAATTTATAATGATGATAATATATTTGTTTAATAAATATAATGCGTAATTCAATTTAATTTTAATTTTTTTTAATTTTTTTTTTAACATATAACTTGATGGGCAGATTTGAGATTCATAATTATTTTTTAGAACAAATTTGGCTAGATATAGAGATCCTATATTAAGACTGCATCAAACTTGAACAGACACAAAATTCTTTATTATGTAATGTTGATCTGATCCGAATCCGGCTCCGCCCAATGTCTATCTACCGCTAGTGCACACCGTGCACCATAGTGTTTCCCCAATGGCCAACTTTTAATTTACAGGAATTTACCGATATAATCGGCTTTCAACGTTGCAATATGCAGACTCCACAACCATAAAGTAACTTATCATTAATTATGTCTCCATTTGAATTTGATGATTATCCAAACGTTCACAACAAAATCAAAGTGAAGGAGCGATCATTCTCTCAGTCTCTCTCTCTCGTAAGTTCCAAACAGTTTGAAACACGTAAACCTAGAGTTTTTTTTTTTTTTATCGCATTTGTTAGGAAACCAATTATGTTAAGAAGTCTAATAAATTTATAAAGTCTATTTATATTAGGAAATCTATATTATTTTTCTTATATAAAGATGTTTATTGTAATAATTTTGGAGGAGATAAATAATATTAAGAGTTTAAGTGACTAATCTCGATTTCGACTCAAATTGGTGGCCTCCGACAGATTGTTCTACAGCAATAACTGCAAGGCTTTATTCAGAGCCCTTCAATGATTCACAAACCTCCAACACATTGTGCTTTATAATCCCATCTTCGGGGACAAAGCCGACGTCAATTACCCCATTCGAAGAATTGCTCCTTCTGGGTTGGATCTTCCAATCCCTCTCTCTCATTTTTTTACAAAAAATTCCCATTCCCCAAAGCTATTAGGAAACTGGGTTCGACCATGAAGAACTTGAAGATTTTAAGATGTTGTAACCTCATTGGTTTTCGAAATCAACACCTTTTTGCTATAGCTGTTGCTTTACCATTGCTTGAAGAGCTCGATATCCAATCTGAATGCTATATCCAATCCGAATACAATTATAATCTATGGGCTGCAGAATTTAAAAGTGCAAAGTACATGGTAACGGACGCTGGGATTGAGGTATTATCGCGCAAGCTTCGAGGGTTGCGTAAAATTAATATGAATAGGCTGGTTGGTTGTTCTGATCGATCTCTCATTGCTTTGTCATCAAATTGTCAACTTTTGAATGAAATTCGATGTTCTTTCTGCAAAGTAACCGAACATGGAATTTGTTTTGTACTACGCCATAGTCGAAATTTGGTTTGTCTCAAAACAAGACTCTATTGCAGTTCACCAGATGATTCGTTCACTTTTGAGAATTCCATGATTTATGCAACATCTTTACGCGATCTCGACTTAGTAGCATCCGAAGATAATGACAGACTAATTTGTTCAATTGCAACAACAGGCATTCCATTAGAGAAGTTCATATTGCACGATGATTCTGGTTTGAGCTTACATGGACTCGTGACTTTCTTAGGTGCATGTCCGTCTTTGACACACTTAGAACTGTGTGCTATACAATTCCTCAACGACAATTCCATGAGGGATTTATGCCAATATCTTCCTAATCTTATCTCCATAACGATTTATGCGTGTCCAAAGTAAACTGCTACAACCTTCTTCATCCTTGCAAAAGAATGTCCCGTCCTTTCCGAAATTAAACTGCAACATACTGATCTAGAAGTAGAGGATGATTTTGATATGGAATTAGAAAGGAATTATCATATTAGATCTTTGGAGTTAAGTTATGGGCGTGTGAATGACGAATTCCTGACAAAAATAGGGGTTGTTTGCCCCAACTTACGGACTCTTACTGTTTGAGGACTTTACAAACTAACAATAGAGGGTATTGTGGAAAGTTTGAATTGCATGCATTCAGGGCCGGCCCTGCCCTAAGGCAGGTAAGGCTTGTGCCTTAGGTCCCATATTTTGGTCCAAAAATAGGGCTCCAAAATTTAAAAAATTGTTATAGGTTCAATCTTTTTTTTTTTTTTTTTGGTTTTAAGATCAATTTATAGGGCCACAAATGTTTTATTGGGCCCATGTATAATTTAACCCATATTTATTTATAAATGTGTTTGGCCCATATTTATTAAAATGAAAATATATAAATAAATAAACAAATAAAAAACAATAGGGCCCTAAATTTGGTAAAACATATAAACATATATAACATAGGGCCCCTAAATTTGGCCCAAAAATAGGGTCCCTAAATTTGACAAAATATTATAGGCTTAATGTTTTTTTTTCTTGGATTTTAGGATTAATTTAAAGGGCCCCAAAATATTTTTTTAGGTCCATGTATGATTTACTCCGTATTTATTTATAAGTGTAGTTTGGTCTCAAGAAAAATAATACAGACAATATATGGGCCCTATTTTTTTTATTTTTTATTTTTACCTTCTTTATCTATTAGATTTTAGTAGAATAAATAATTTTGCTCAAATTTTTTTACCTAGGTCTTTATCAATTTTAATTGAATAATTTTTTCCTAATTTTTTTGTTCTAATTTTGTTTTATTAAATTGTTTTATTTATAATTTTAATAATTATATGTGTAAGGAAATTTTTTTATGGTTACAAACAAATAAAAAAATTGTAACTTATCGTTTTATTCATGAATTTTTTTAAACATAAAAGGGCCCCATTTTCAAAATTCGCCTTAGGCCCCGTCAAACTCAGGGCCGGCCCTGCATGCATTTGACAACTAGAGAAGTAGTGATCTGTTTGGAACAATGTCTGATATGAGCTATCGCAGGCACTTGCATTCTATATGTGAAGGAAGAAAGATTCTAGGGGCTGATTGTACTTGTGAATTGAGTAAGAAGAAAAAGATGGTAGGGAATATTTTGCTCTGATTCTTGCATTCAAATTTGGCAGGAGGACTTGTATCTTGAACTCTTCTAGTTTTCAACTTTCAGTTGTCCAATATTTGATACTGTTCCATAGATGTCAACTTGAAGAAAGAGCAATTAAATTAACTTCTCAAAGATGTCAACTTGAAGGTAGATGCATAAAACTAATCAAACATCTACTAATGGGTAGAGCTTCTTTTGTTGGTACGATCACAATAAGCTTTACCAACTGTAAGTTGGCTTCTTTCCAAAGCTTCATATGTCATGGTGTTCGCATCCATTTGAGTTTTGATCAGGTGCAATTGTTTGCTGAGGTTGTTTTATTTAAAAGCACTTAGGCCCCGTTTGGGGACTTACCTTTTTAGTCAAAAAGTCAAAAAGTTACATTTTTAGCCAAAAAGGCAACAACTCATACAAAAAAGTCAAAGATTCTATTTTCTCTCTACTTTTTGCACATCTTTTCGTAATTAGCCGAAAAGTCATCCCAAAAATATAAGTTTTTTTTACCTACTTTTTTAGCCAAATAGCCAAAAAGTTACTAAATTAGTCTGTTCCCAAACGAGGCCTTAGTCTTATTCATTGATGCCTGATCAATTAATCTTAAATCCTAATCACTTGTACTGTATCTTTGTGAGTTTTGCTTGCTGATGTGATATGGAATAAGGCCAATTGAAAAACTAGGAGCAACACAAGAGCTGGTCATTGTGAAATGAAATTGGAAATGATGGCCTTTTTTTGCTGTCATATCAATGAGTTTCTGACTGTAAGGCAAAGCAAACCAAAATTTAGATATTGGAACACTAATGTTTGAGAAATTGGAACAAAAGCATTATGTTCCATTCTTTCAGAAGAATGAGTACCTTGGTATTACCTTTACTCCCATCCATGTTTTTACCATTGGTGACTTGATTAGCTTAGCTGGTTGTACATACAATCCAAATATAGCAGCAGAGAAGGATACAATTAGGCCATGTTTGTTTGGGTGGGACTGGATTAGGTTGGATTAGCATTCCCATGACTAATAGTCTTAGGACTATGAATCCTTTGGATTGTATATCCTATCCTGTGTTTGGATTGAGTTAGGATTATAAGGAGGGATTAACAAAATATTATCCAATCCGATGTGTGTTTAAGGGAATTGGAATGGATAGGACATGAGACATCCAATATATTGACCATATTATGGTCATTTGATAAGTTAGTCCAGACTTTGATTTAGTCTCCTAATTTATATCCCACCCCATATATGGGATTGAATAGTCCATCATATGTAGTCCATCATATGTAAGATACCATATCCGAATGGATTGTTAGTCCGCACTTTAATATTTTAACCAAACATCGGATTACTAGTTTTATTGGATTATTAATCCAATCTCAAGTATATGTGTTGGCTTTTTGGCTTTTCGAAGGGTATTTTTGTGAATGTGAGCGTGCCAGCAAGGATCAATCAGTCCTTACAGAAATTGTGATTGCCAACCAATTATCAGACGATTGTGTTTTAGTTCTTTTCAGCCTCAATGAAGAGGACTTTTACTGGTGGCTTAACTTAGGAGAAATTAAGAAAGAAAACAGTAATATGAAGAACAATTGAAGTATTTCATAAAAATGAACACTTACAATGGTCCGAACTCATCGCTGATCATGCTTCCTTAAAAGTAGCTCCATTACGCCATTACTGGCAGTTGAGCTTCCCTCTTGTACTGGAATTTGAATATGAGTAACCGTTTGAAGATATGTCATCTTGCATCCCATTATTGATCTAGTGTTACTCAGATCATGTGAGGACCAATATTTATTGCCACGTGTACGATCAGGATTAAAGGCTTGAATAACCTTCCTTTATTACCCTTACTCTGCCACGTGTCGAACTGTAACTGGCTTTTACAAAATATGTAGCCAACAATATGTCTGCCCAAACAAACATGATCTTAGTATGTCTGTAGAATTGGCCGGATCTCACACCAAAATGAAACTGCTCCCAGGATTAGTGTTTTGAGATTGCCATGTGTTCAAGAACAACTCACATGATGTGGTCAAAATAACAAACACTACTTGCGCAGCAGAAACCATGTAGGTTTTCTTCTTGCATGTTTGCTTGCGTGCTTGCTCTTCCTCCTCTTCTTTGTTTTCTTTATCTATATACCGATTTTATGTTTACTTTTCTCTCAAACCTAACTTTCAAGTACTTGCATGGGCCTATTTGGTAACATTTTCATTTTTTGTTTTCTGTCATTTCCAAAAAAACACAGAAAGCTTGTTTGGTGAGTTGTTTTTGGAAAAATATTACGAAAACAACTCAATTTTTATAAAACACCAAAAAAAAAAAATCAATTTTGAAAACTATTTTACACACACAAAAAAAAAGTGTTTTTTAAACTTATATTATTTTTATTTTCGTAAACACAATAGGCAAAAACAATATTAATAGGTTGTTATGGACTGCATGAGGCTTTTTATAACATAAAAGGGGGGGAGGGGGGCAATCACACCCCCATGTAACTTTACAAAAATAATTACAAGGAAAAATTTATGATTTTAGATATTAATAATTATAAAATTTGTTATTAATTTATAATTATTTTTTTAAAATGTCACTGATTTGATATTTTTCATAAAAAATATCTATATATTAAAAGAAAGCCATATATATAGCCTTTGAATGATTTAAACGAGTTGATAAAATAATATCACACTGATAGATTTTAAAAGATAGAATCATATAGTGAGGAGTAATGAATTCAGTCAATTATGCTTTTGTGATTAACTAATGAATTGAAGTTTTTATAAACATTAATTAGTGTATTAGAGTATATTTTTTTAGAAAATTGGTAAAAAAATCTATTTTCCTGGTGGCATTAGATACAATTATTGATTTGTTTTTTTGGTAAGGACATGATAATAAAAAATAATAATTGTTGAAAAGGAAAAATTATTGTTTAATTTTTTTTTTCCATTTTCCATTTATTTTTATTTTTTCATTTCCATTTTTGCCAGTGGTGGCTGGTGGTATCTGACAACAGATGGTGGTGGCCCGTGGTTGTGGTGATGATTTTGATATAGGCAGATTAGATGAACAAATAAGTGAATTGATATGTGACACGTGGACAGATAGGTGAATATATCAGTGATAGATAACAATTGAGCAGATACGGTTAATATGGTATTTCACATTACTATTGTCCTTATAGCTCTAAACGATTTAAACTTATGGTAATGGCTCAAAGATTTAGAAATGGACCTACGATTTGAGTTCCCTACAGTTTTGTAATTAAAAATTAAATTTAAATGTTGTGAATATATTATTAGGCACACACGATCACTATCCTATGATAGAAATTAAATTATATGGTGATGGTGCTAAAAAATAACATATGTACTGTTGAAGTAAGTCTTTAAAATATGACATTTTGACATTGTAGTATACTATGGCTGTTTGAGAACTTTCAAATTAGTCACATTTTTTTTAAAAAAAAAATTATGTCAATTTTTTTTTTTAAAACTTTTTTGATCTATCTTGGGCAGGCGAATCTATTTTTTAAAAAAAAATAAAAAAATAAGCCAAAAGAAAAAAAAAATGTTATTTTTTGCTTATTTTCATCTTTTATAAGTTTTTTTTTAAAAAAATTTAAAATTTTTCGATTCATCTCATTGAGTAGAATCTATATATAACTTTTTAAATTTTTTTTGTAAAAAGTTAAAAAATAAACCAAAACACACACACACAAAAAAAAAAATTTCCCTAAGCACC